TTTTTAATTGGCCAGTCAGTAGCGAAGAAGTGATCGGTAGTTTTCTATAACCTGTTGCTTATACACTCTCTTATGAAAATAAAAATAACTAATTATAAGTCATATTTGACTATTTGTCATAGCGAAAAAGCAGTCATTAATAACTAGGGATGGGATTTTAGTTATTTTACCTTTTTTCAACCGATGTAACTATTTGTAAACCAATAATGCCAAAATGTGTTTTAAAAGATTTTCTTTTATATGAACCTAACTTGTTTTCACCTTTTTTACCTTTTTTGGAGCTTTTTATACTTTTGTTGCATATTTTTGTCAGTTTATTTTCACCTATTTGTTGCCTATTTTTACGTATTATTACTTATTTTATTTTTTGTGTTCTTTTTAAATTTTGCGCCAATATTTTATCCAACTCAACGGTATAGAATTTTTTCTTATGGTCACAGACTGTAGCAGTAACTTTCTTTGCAGTTACCTTCTTTGTAGTGAGCTTATGTTGTCATAGAACTTCTGTTTAGTGAGTGTCACTCAGTGAAACACAGTTTATTGCTTAGAAGTAGTTTATTGTGGATATGTTCTGTGTTTGGGTATGCGGCTAAACAAAATTATAAAAAACCAAAGAAAATCCTCTAAATAAACTCAGCAGTTGGATAGAGGGGAAGAATAAAATATTTTCTATTGACGGAAAAAAACGTATTTTGTAGAGTTTGCTGTAAAATTGTAAGGACTTTGAGGTTGTATCTTTCTTTAATTTATATACATTTTAGCTATCTGTTTGTTACTCTAGTAGTAAATTTGGTAAATATCAGGTATTCCCTGTTATATTTTCAGTTCCTTATAGCTTTAAAGCTTAATTAATTAATTAACAGTCAGTTTTTAAAAAAAATATTTTATGTTACTTATTTTATAAAAATAAATGAAACTTGAATTTTTAATGTTTTTTTTTAACCTAAAATGCTGTTTTTTTTACCTAAAATGCTGTTTTTTTAGGTACTAAAAACTGAAAAAAAGGTAACTAAAAAGGTACTAAAAAAGCATTTTAGGTTAAAAAAACAGCATTTTAGGTAAAAAAAAAAACAGCATTTTAGGTTAAAAAAAACATTAAAAATTCAAGTTTCATTTATTTTTATAAAATAAGTAACATAAAATATTTTTTTTATAAACTGACTGTTAATTAAAGTTAACACTGTGCAATATTTTCGGAAAAAATTAAGATGATGGGGTTCTGAAAGTATTTTGGGTTTCTACAATCAAAATCATGAATTATAGCGTTTACAGAATGTTTAGAGATTCTGTTTATTTTAATATCAATTTAAAGTTTCAGTGATTCTGGATACCGAAATATCGTAAAATAATAAATAATTAGTACATAAAAGATAATTATTGGTTTTGTATATTGTTTTATAAAGTAATAACAATCAAATAAATAAAAAAATAATTAAATAAAAAAATAATGAGAACAATAAAATGCAATTTTTTAAAAAAAAACTTAACCTTTTTCTGGATTTAATATGTTATAGTGAAATTTCTTAGTTCTTTCGCTTCTACCATAATAATAATGATGGTAATTATTATTATTATATTAATTATTAAAAACATATTCTTTTTTAACAAATAGAATGAATGAATCAACATAAAAGATAACAAATTTTATTTATAAGTTTATGCCAAAATTTCCATTGCCATAGACCAACAAAAATCTGCCAACATCGAATCAAACCTCTTTCCTCTATAACGATTTTCCATTTCCATTATTGTTTGATGCTTTTCTGATTCGGTGGACAGCTGATTTTCGAACAGGTCAAGATGTGCATGAAGCAAATGTAGTTTTAGTGACATATTTACCCCCATTTTTAATTTTTGTTTTATTTTTTATTATTTCTTTTTAGTTTATTGTTATGACAACAATTTCCTTTTAGTTATTTCCTATCAGTTAATTGGTTTAAATTAATAAATAACGGTTTTTCGGCTTCCAAAATTAATAAAACTTAAAATCGATATTAAAAAAAACCTGAATCAATCTAAACATTCTGTAAACGCAAAAAGGCATTCTTTGGATAGGAGAAACGAAAACCACTTTCAGAACCCCATAATTTTTTTTGCTGATGCACTGTGTAATTAGTCAAATTCTACAGAATGAAATAGTCAAATTAGTGGATTTAAATTTAAAAAAGTTTTGACCCAGCCGGGGATTGAACTCAGGTCTGTCACTTGTCAAGCTTGTCAAGCTGTTGTCATAACCCATTCGGCTATATTGCTTGTTTATTTTTATGGGCCATTTAACCATGGAGTATATGCATTTAATTCAAATAATACTTTGTTGTTGGCCGCAAACGATTAAAGAAATTAGTTACTTTTCTCTCAGAAATAGTCAAAGATGGTGACTAATCTTAAATTAGTCAAACTTTAACTATTTACGTAGTAAAAAATAATTATTTAAAAGTGAAAACGACTATTTTATTAGTAAAAAATGCTGGTACTAATTCAAATAGTAGAATTTTGACTATTTCATTTTAAGAGAGTACCTACATACATTTAAGAAATACATTTTTTATGCAAAAAATTGTTGTCAATCTCATAGGTTTTTTAATTAAAAATTTCATGGAGATATTGTTAAAATTGATATTATTTGATAATAAACATTGTAAGTGGATACCATTTAAATAAAATAATTGCCGATGGGTGGAACAAAAGAAAACGGCTGGCGAGAGAAAACTTGTACAGCTCGATTCGTCGAACACAACAGATCGCCGTACAACACAATGCTGTGTTTTGTTTTGCGAAATTATGATTATGTGTGGATTTTGCATTAATATTTCGACTACCATATTCATAAATTTATGGGTTATTGACGTACTGCATGCTGGGTTGCTCGTCGAAATATAAAAACTATAAATCTTTAACATCGTTTCCACTTCGAGTAGCTTTATCTCGGGAGATAATCGAATATAAAAACTTATTGAACTGTCGCTTTGATATTGGAAAAATAATGATTCACTAGAATTAAGCAAGTGCCACATCCACATCGACTTGATAAGATTTTCAATTTTTAAAATAATTAGTTTTGTGCTTCTTTTTATTTTATTTCACAGCACAACTGGCTTAATGGTGATGAAACTTTCTTTATTATTATTAATATTATTTTAAGCTTATTGGTCATATCTCATAAAATTGTTGATACTGCAAAATGTCCTATCCCAAGTAGCACAACTGGTTAAATTAACGTTAAATTTACGTTAAACCTTGCTAATTCATTTAAGTAATATTGTACTACTTTAAATTAACCTTATATTTTGTCGAACCTACCGAAATTTCGGTATTTCTACCTAAATTACATCGGAACTACCAAAATACCGAATACTTAGATTTTCGCCAATAATTATGTTTCTACCGATTTTTGGCAACTTATTTTGTAGTACCTAGAGACTAATAAAACACCGATTTTGTCCATATAAATTGTTTAATTTTTGTACTTGTAACACCCGAAACAGAACCATGGTAACACCCGAAACAAAGTAAAAGTTTATAAAAAAAATTTCAAACGTTATTTGTGAAAGTGATTGGAGGAGGAGGCCTGTAATTTTTATAAATGTTTCCCTAAAAAAATTCGCTGAATTTCAAACAAATGTAACAATGGTCAGGACATAGAGGCAGAATCGTGAAACCCCCGAAACGCACACTTTTTGACTTATAAAATCGTTATTCTATATGCTAAACTGTACTAATTTAACAATTTATATAAAACAACTAAAAACGTATAGAATAAGGCACTTTAATTGCTTAAATGTTATTTCAAAATACAAAAAAGTTTAGACTTTGGTTGAACAAATGTAACACCCGAAACGATGGAATGACCCATAAGAAACAACACGGCGAAAATTTGTGTTTTTGTGGAGTGTCGCGAACAAAGACGTACTATTTAAAGGAGCGCTGAGTTCTAGCTGGTACTACACCAAAAGATAGCAATGTTATCTATCTGCTTTGAGACTCAATCTTAGATCTAGTAATAAAAATTAACAAAATTAAGTTTTGGCAAAGTTTTAGCTCAATGTTATTGTCTCCATGGCGACGACGAATAAACACCTCGATTAAAAACTTCTCACCGCCATTACCGTGTTCTCAATTAAAAAGAATGTCCATTGAAGAAGAAGAAGAGTAAGAGGAGGTGTACGGAGGAGATAAGGATGTTAACTGGTGAGTATCGAACAAAAATGAATAAACTGAATGTAGGTATGGATCCAGAAAGGATTCCGATAACTATCATTAACTCCGCTACCGCAATTATAAATCGGTAAGGTGAAGATCGAGATGAAAGATAAGAGCAAAGTCACGAAAATTAAATAAATATTTTTTAATGAAAATAAATAACGTGAAAAAAGTATTCCCTCTGTGAGTGTGTGTGTGTTGTGTGTGATAACGTTTCCGAGAAGTTCGTAAAGTGCTAATGATACGTCTAAAGCTTTTTACAATAATCTGAGCTCTTAATCATTTACGCCAAGATCTTTATCGTCATTTATTCCTCCTTCACAATGATCTTCCAATTCATCATTTCTTCTTCTCACCTTGTTGCGCACTGTGGAACAAATCAGACAAACAACCTCACTCCTTTGTACCTATGAAGCTATTCGGTCCATCTCTATTAGATTTTATAATGACCACAAAAATAAATTTAATTTTCTGTTTGATCAATTAAAATTTATATTTTTAGGAAAAAAAAATAGTTTTAGTATTAAAATTGAATTTTATAGTATATGAAAGGATTGAAAACAATTTTCTAATGACGTTAGCATAAATTTGCTAATAATAACAGCGTTAAAATAATATTTACAATTAAATTGTTTTTATGTTATATTATGAGTATAAAAATCGGTTATTATCAATAACCGTTTTCTTTATCAAGTTCAACTTTAGCCCCTTACTAAAATGTTATAATAATAATAAGTTACATTTTATTTTGTGGGAGATGACCCACCACTTAAAAGTTACCTTGGGCCCATTCTCTAAAAATGGCCAGTTTCAGAGGTAGAAGATTTTTAAGCTGAAGGTAATTTATCTTTTTAAATTATCCCAGGTTTATCCGCTTGTAAAATACCGTCTTTATTTTCAACCGGTCTATCACTATACTTCTGCCTAGGCTTAGCAAACGATACATACTCGCATAAATTTCTATGAAACATTGATGAACTATCAAAATTTTGCTTAGATATAAAGTTGTGTAGGTTGGTTACCAAAGCACTCTTCGTGAAGAAATTGACCAAAAAATTAATTCAACAGTAACATGACACATCATTGTAACTAAGGATACCTTAAATAAAAAAAATTAAATGCCACATCTCGAAAACTAAAAATAATACCTACCCAAGTCAAATTTCTTTACAGATGATGAAAATGTGCAACTTTTGATTAGCCTAAAACAACTCATACCCTGTATGTATATGAAAATTTACAAAACTTTAAAGAAATTCAATTTTTTCAAGATTAAAAAAAATCCAAAATTTTGGAATCTATCAATATTTTGAAAATTTAGAAGAATTTAAAAATTTAGATTTTTTTACGAATTTTGAAGTTTTTAAAGTACCCCAAAACCGAACTGTATAAGTCATACTTTTGAAACAAATATTTGTCAATTCCATTTTAAATGGAAAATTGACTATATCTCAAAAACTGTTCTACTTTTTTAACTTTTCGGATTCAAGGGATATACATAATAAAGCCACAACTTCTGAATGTGTATTTAAAAGGTCATTTAGTGTCATGGAAACATGTACGATAATGGGCCTTTTAAAAGTGGGAGGAGAAAAATAGATTTATTGGAAAATCCAAAAGGCTATCAACCGAGATCTTTCAATTTTATTTTACAAATTATTTGATTTAATTATAAACTAGGTATATAAACTTAATTATCTTAAAAAGAAAACTAACTTTGGTCTGTGTTTTCTTATTTTATGTAAGTTTATAAAATGGAATAGTTAGTATTTATTTTTAAATTACACATGATACGAAAATGTTGTCATTTTTATTTATGTATTTCCTTATCAGCTTTACCCAAACTCGAACAAAATCACTCAATAGGAGAAATATATATACTCAATTTATGTTATAAATAACCCGTAAGGAGTTTATTTATAACAAATATAATCAAAAAACGCCAGAAAAATACTGATTTTAGACTTAAATTTAACTCGTATGTAAATGTAGATCAACTCAAAAGAGTTAGAATCAAATCAGTTAAAAGTTCCTAAAATATAAATTAACCCAAAAATTACCTAAAATCACTCATTAATTAATGTTCTAAATAATCCACAATGAGTTAATAGTTACTCAAGACAAACCCAATATTCACATTTACCTGAATATAAACTAAAAATCACTTCTTTTTTACTCATAAAATTTAAATTTCACTCACGTATATTGAGTAAAAAATTAACTCAATCTGGTGTGGACCTTTTCTGATACTTAATTGGGTGAAATTTTTACAGTGTGTATACAGCCACACTAGGGTGGGCCAAAAAAAACTTTTAATTTTTTTTTCTTTAGTTACCATAAAAATATCGAATTTTAACGAATCAGTAAGTTGTAGAAATCAATACATATTCTTGTAGGGAATTGAACGATCTACAAAAAAGATCTGATATGATTTTTTGCGTAGTCGACTCGTTTAAAAGTTATTTGAGGTTAAAGTTCAAAAACATGAAATATCATATTTATATATCACAAGTTTATCGAGTGTAAAACAATACAATTTTTACGAAATATCAATATTCGTGTAAAACCGTTTTTTTTCTATACTTGATTTAAAAAAAATCGATTTTTTTTCTTTACATAAGTAATGACAAAAAAAATTAATGATTTTCTCAAAAAATAATAAATATTCTATTTACTATTTACTATTAGGTAATAAAAGCCATGTTTCAATAATTTATCAATTAAAATAAAAAATGTTATTCCATAACTTGTACTTTTTTCACTATCTTAGAATCAAACATTTGTTGTACTCTTCTATTAATGCAACTCCTCTTTCTGCTACATCATTGAGAACTAAGACGTTTGAAAAATACTAGATTATCTTGATAGCTTTCATCCTGTGTCCAAAATTCTACATTCTTATTGATAAAGTCAATGGGTAAATGAAATATATTAAATATATATGTATATTTGATACTTATTGCGAGTAGTTAAACACCACCGGCAAAAATATCCCAATTGTAACAAGAAAAATTTAGTTTGGTTGTGAAAAAGTACAAGTTATGGAATAACATTTTTTATTTTAATTGAAAAATTATTGAAATATGGCTTTTAACTCTACATTACCTAATAGTCAAGCGTAAATAGAATATTTATTATTTTTTAAGAATTTTTTTTTGTCCATTACCCAGGTTAAGAAAAAATTTCGAATTTAAAAAAAAATTAAATATTTTTTCACGATTATTGATGTTTTGTAAAAATTGTATTGTTTTACCGAAGAACATTCGATAAACTTCACGAAAAATATGATATTTCATGTTATTGAGACAATATTTCGTGATAAAGTATGAAAAACTATAAAAGTCATCATTTACTATTTGAAGTTGAACTTTAACCTCAAATAACTTTTAAAGGAGTCGACAACGCAAAAAATCATATCAGATCTTTTTTGTAGATCGTTCAATTTCCTACAAGAATATGTATTGATTTTTACAACTCACTGATTCGTTAAAACGCAATAAAATTACAAACAAAAAATTGTTTTTTTTTTTCGTGTTATTTAAATGGAAAATAAAAAATCGCGATGCGCCACCGCTAAATATTAATATTAAGAGCTCAAACTTTATCAGAATTTTTTTTGTCATCTTGGACGATTCATGGTAACTAAAGAAAAAAAAATTGAAAGTTTTTTTTGGCCCACCCTAAGCCACACACGATTATTGATATTTCGTAAAAATTTATTGTTTTACCGAAGAACACTCGATAAACTTCACGAAAAATATGATATTTCATGTTTTTGAGACAATATTTCGTGATAAAGTATGAAAAACTATAAAAGTCATCATTTACTATTTGAAGTTGAACTTTAACCTCAAATAACTTTTAAACGAGTCGACTACGCAAAAAATCATATCAGATCTTTTTTGAAGATCGTTCAATTCCCTACAAGAATATGTATTGATTTCTACAACTCACTGATTCGTTAAACCGCAATAAAATTACAAACAAAAAATTGTTTTTTTTCGTGTTATTTAAATGGAAAATAAAAAATCGCGATGCGCCACCGCTAAATATTAATATTAAGAGCTCAAACTTTATCAGAATTTTTTTTCGTCATCTTGGACGATTCATGGTAACTAAAGAAAAAAAAATAAAAGTTTTTTTTTGGCCCACCCTAAGCCACACACTTCAATCCATTTCGGCGGTGGCCTGCAAAGTGCGTGTCTGTTAAGCCGCCCATCATATTATATACAACGTCCCGCGGACGCGTGCTAGCAGAGAGGGAACGCACCGCAGCCAACTTAGCTCTAGTCGCGGCCAAGAATCGCTCAGTCTTCGTGAGCGCACCACGCTTCAAACAACCAGCCTAACAATAGAACAGCACGTGGGTGCATCAGCAGAGACTTTAACGCGAGTTACTGGAGACTGCGGCAGTAGTGAAACGACGAACCCCGTGTATTATGTGTTACTAGTTTTATCAGTTATGATGGAGTCTTTGCTGCAATTCAGCAGCCTCTCAGAGCGGCTGCAGGACTTTACCGACGCCAATAACAATAATGAAGATTCACCGAGTAATATACCCGATAAATATTCTCTTAGGCCGAGATCGCTGAGGAGAGTCACAGCGAGTGCCAAGGAGTTTAAAGAGTCCAGCACAAAAGCGAAGAGCAACCACAAGCAGAAGCAGAAAGCGCCGCCCCTGAGCAAGTACAGGAGAAAAACCGCCAACGCGAGGGAGAGAAATCGCATGCGCGAGATAAATCAGGCGTTTGAAACGCTGCGGAAAGTCATCCCTTCTATGCAGACGCAGCAGCAGCTGCCCGGCGCCAACGGCGAGAAGCTCACCAAGATCACCACCCTTAGGCTCGCGATGAAGTACATATCCAGCCTTAGTGCGGCCCTCAACGGGCCCGAGTTCGAGTTTTCGGACTCGTACAGCGAGCTGGACTGCTTTCTGCTGGAGTCCGACGGGGAGTCTCTTCCGCTCTCGGATAACTCCATTCTGGCGTCGCCGGATTTCCTGGAGCCCTCGCTGAGTCCAGTGGACTTTGGAGATCCTTCTTTACCGGCGTTGTTGCACACGGACTTCACGGAGCATGCCCTGGGGCCCCCGGATTTTAGCGACTTTTTGCTAGCGTAATGTATTGTGAGATTTCTTGAATTACTGTTCTTGTAAAGGTAAACTGACGTTTTCTGTGATTTTGAAAACTAATTTGAAAATTTGACGACTTCACTGTGAGAGATATGTGCATACATTATTAATATAAATTAGGGTGGAGCGCTAAAAAAAATTTTTTCCTTAGCCTGGGGGTGGAATTTGTAGCCTATAAAAAAAGAAAATTTTTGAAAAAAAAAAAAATTTTTACTCAACGTCTTGAGGTGGCCCACTGATTTTTTAAAAAAATTCCAAAATAGTAACATGCTTTTCTGAGGCAATAGAGCGAATTTCGAGTTGAACACGATCAAATTTGTTTATTTTTAGATAAATTTGAAGATTACAAGCCAAAATTTTTTTTTTATTCAAAAGAATTTTAACTTAAATTTAATTTAAAAAATCAGTGGGCCACCTCAAGACGTTGAGTAAAAATTTTTTTTTTCAAAAATTTTTTTTTTTTGTAGGCTACAAATTTCACCACCAGGCTTCACCCTAATATAAATATAAAAAAATAATATTTATATATGCTTGAGGTTTTTAATTTTCTTGTGATTTTGTAACTGATAATGGTAACTCCATCATATAAAATTATATGTTTTACGTGATAAGAAAAAATATTTCACAGATTTTATCGATAATATATAAAAAATAAGTTTTTGGTATTTAATTTTTACATTATTTGAGATCATTTTTTTACATATTAACTCTCAAAAATTAAAGACGATTTTATTTTTATATGCACATTTTTAAATTAATTTACCTACTGTTAAATTAAAATTAAAATTTAACACCACATTTTATTTACAAAAAAAAGTGAAATTATTGTTTTATTTTAATTATAAATATAAATATAAATGCAAAAAAAATATTTTTCGTATATGCTTCATGTTTTTAATGTAAATGTACATTTTTACAATTACTTCTAAAAATTTAAGTCTATTTAATTTTTACATTATTTGGGATTGTTTTTTACATATTAACTACCCAAAATTAAAGACGATTTTATTTTTATATGCACATTTTTAAATTAATTTACCTACTGTTTTAAATTAAAACTAAAATTTAACATCACATTTTATTGACAAAAAAAAATAGGTAAAATTATTGTAAAATATTTTATTATATTACTTTTACAAATTGCTCTCTACATACAAAATACTACTATAAAAATTTCTTATGAATTAATAAATTATTTAAATATATATAAATCGAAATGTAAAAAAAATATTTTTATGTGCTGATAATGGTAACTCCATCATATAAAATTATACTCTATAAAAATGAATTAGTCAAAAATGACTAATTTAATAGTTATTAGTGGCTGCTTTTCACTTGTACCATGGTTAACCATGAAATACCATGATATCCAAAATTTAACACCCAATTTTTATATAAAATTGTTCCCTGAATCCGAAAATATCGTAAAATTATGAAAGTGGAGCTGTTTTTGAGATAAAGTCAATTCCATATTAATTGAAAATTGACTCTCAAAAACTGTTTTTTTAACTTTTACGACATTTTAGGTTCAGGGGACAATTTTACATAAGAGTTGTAAATATACATAAGAGTTGGCTGTTAAATTTTGGGATACCATGGTATTCCATGGTTAACCATGGTACAAGAGAAAAAACAACTATGATTTTTAGAGAGTTTTTGATAACAATTTTTTCCAGAATTTTTATTTGAAAGCACATCAATGTTTATATTATTTGGGATCGTTTTTTTACTCTCTAAAAATTAATAAGTCAAAAATGACTAATTTAATAGTTATTAGTGGCTGCTTTTTCACTTGTATGGTTAACCATGGAATACCATGGAATCCCAAAATTTAACAGCCAATTCTCAAAATTGTCCCCTGAATCCGAAAATACCGTCAAAAGTTAAAAAAGTAGAACAGTTTTTTTAGATATAGTCAATTTTCCATTTAATATGAAATTGACTATATCTCAAAAACAGCTCCACTTTCAAAATTTTTGACTGTATTTTCGGATTCAGGGGATAATTTTACATAAAAATATATTTTATTATCTTTATTATATTACTTTTACAAATTGCTCTCTACATACAAAATACTACTATAAAAATATTTCTTATGAATTTTATAATTAAATTATTTATGTTTGGTTTAATTTTAAAAAAGAACAAACAATATTTTTACCTTGTCAACTCAAAAAAATACACTTAAATCAAATATCATCTTTTAAGACATTTTGTTTGTTTATTGTGTCTCCAGGTACCTTGATAAATTATGTATGCATGCAAAATGTAGTAGGCAGTCAATATAATTGATATAAATCACGTTACTATTTTTAACCATGCTAAAAACAATGTACTTTTAAAATACATAGTATTATACAATTTAATTTGTACATAGCTTGAGATAAATTTATTATTATTATTTAATTTTGTATAATTGTGTAAATAAAAAATGAACTGAATTGTATACATCTTGCCTCATAGCGTTAAGTTTTTATACACATGTATATTATTATTATTATTATTATTATTATTACTGTTACCTATAGTTTTATGATATTTTATATGACGACCTACGTTTTATTGTTAAAAAAATAAATTTTATAAAAATTAACAATCTTGTCTTATTTTATGCTTTCACATTTTAAATTTTAAACACAGGTTTACAAATTAATTAAAAAGAATGGGACATTCGGTGCCTCTATTTTTTATAATGCTAAATTTGAAAATCACAATTTTTTTTTCTATGGCAAAAAATTGCAAAAGATTGCAAATTCATTGCATAAAACTTTCGACCAATAAACACAACGTGTTTGAGAAGTATGTAATGAGCCAGGTTACCCAACTAAAAAAATAAAAACCAAAAAATCGAAAATATAAATCATTAAATAAATTAATTATTATCACGTTGAGAAATAAAATTTATGTGGTCGATTATAAGCAATCGGAAAATTAATAAAGCCATTGGAATCATTACAAGTATTTCGCAAAAAAAATAATTAACATTTAAAGGAATGCACGCGAAGTAGCCCGGTTAAATTAACTTATCTAAAATCTGATTGCATAAAGTTGATTATTAATGGTGGTGTATCGGTCGAAATTATATTAATTTTTTACAGGCTACTAAATATTTTTTACAGCCTCGATGAAATGAGTGAAAAAATGCGAATGCACTATGGAGATGAGAAACCGATTTAAAATCACGTTGTAAAAAAATATTTTTTGACAGGATACTGAGAATTAAAACAAAAATAGAATTACAAAAATTTTAAAATCAGGTGCAATCAATTAAAGCAAGGTCCTAATCCAAACCTTAATTTTTTGCGTTTTTAATAAATTCTGAGAAAATTTGATAATTTTGTGGGGGAAATATTATTAAGCTTTATAATTTTAGTTTATTAAGTGGCCTTATTGTAATAATAAATAGGTAAATAAAATTAACTTTTTGTATAAATTTCGTTCTCGGGATAGGGGCCGTTCAAGTATTACGTAAGCACTATAGGGGGGTGGGGGGTCTTTGCTTTGCTTATTTTTGATGACATGGGGGGTGGGGGGTCTAGATGGTGATTACGTCAGCAGTAGTTATTTACTTTTTTACACATATGGCAACCCACACATTGTCTATGCTTGAAAACAAAAAGATCAATGTTTACGTAAGCATTGGAGGGGGGGTAAGAGCTTTGATTACTTTTGCTGACAAGGGGGAGGGGGGGTTAATAATTGTAGTAAATCTGCTTACGTAATACTTGAACGGCCCCATAGGCCAGGATACTGAGAATGAGGCATTAGGCAAAATCTGAATAATTTTAAATGTCCAACTGGAAAAAGTTTAAAATATAAATTAATCGCCATAAAATTATAAAATTATGATTTGAAAAAATTTTAACCAGAAATATTAAATAGATTCACTAATTTATTAAATTAAAAAAAATAAGGAAAATAAAATTATAAACTCAAAAACGTTATTTATATTTACATATTTATAGTTAAATTTATGCACTGGTAAATTTTAGCAAAAATAATAATAGTATATTAATTAGCGAGCGTGCGAGTACTTAATTAAATGAGTGCCTGGAAAAGTTTATAAACGAGGTGCATACTATACTTTTTCTACGACAAATACTTATTATTTTGTAAAAAATGATTTAAATTAAATATTTGTATAAAGCGACATCTATACGAAAATAAAGTAACCATCCCAATAAAGATTTAATTAAACTTAACAATTATTTATACTTTAAAATAATAAAATAACTTCAAAATATGATATGAATGGTAAGAACATTTTTTATAATTTTTTTGTTAATATTATATTATTAGAATCTAGAGGTGTTAAAATCTCAAAATTTTACTGGGTGAATGAAACTTTATCCCTTGAAAATAGACTAACAAGAGGTTTTTCACAGTAAAAGAGAAAGGAATATCTTATGGGCACTGTACAAACTTTCATATATTATTTTCAAAGAAAATATTTAATAATTTTGTGTTTTTGTATTGAGGTAATAAAATAATTTTCACATTCAGTATTATTTTACAAAAAATTTACTTTATTTAACGATTGTATGACATTTGACAACTGTCAACTAACTTAAAGCAAACTTCAGCCCGTGACTAAAGCGCCGTAAAGCCACAACTTGTCGATGTGTATTTAAAGGTGGGAATAAAAAACTATTTTTATACATGCAACATGTTTTGGTGTAAAGTGATGTAGGTGTGATTTAGAGTGTTGGTATGTCAAAGTTTTGACATTTCAGCAAAACAAATGACTATGTCCAATAGGTATAAAAAAATTAACATAATAATGCTACGTAGTGTTATTTATAAACTAGCGCGTTGTGGCAATTTTTAATTTTTTAAATTTATTGTTAATAATTTTTTATTTCATGTCTTTGTTTTATTTTATTTTATACTGTTTATGTTTATGTTAATTTATATCATTAATATTTTATTGTTTTTTATAATTGTCTAGATAATATTTTAATATTTTTTTTATTATACAATTTAATATTTTTTTAGATATATCTAAACATTTCATAAATTATTATTATTATTTTTTATTTCTAGTTTCTTTTAGATTTTATTAAAATTTCCTTTTATACTCAAAGTTTGTACAAATGAATATCTCGAATTTTGTTAATTTTTTGTGTAATTTTCGCATAGTGTGTTGTTTGGTTTAGCCGGCCAAGTCACTTGGTACACATGTTTTTCGTGAATAATTAAGATTGGGACAAGATTATCGCCGCGGCGAGCTGGCTACTTTAGCCATTAATTCGTGACACATTTTTCAGGGGCAATTAATATAATAATTCCGGGCCCCGGTCAAACGA